GAATATTGAGAAAGGAAAGTTCTCAATCTTTGGTATTGGGTGGATATTACAGATATTTGGTGAGAAAGTAACTATAGATGGACATGCAGACAGCTATAAACTTAATGTTATTAAAAGGTCAAGAGTTTGTAATAATTGCTCAACAAGACACAATCCAAGTAGCAGTTATACAATTTAAATTCTTGCAAATTCTTATATAATTCTTGTACAATTATACAATTTTCTATTCTGGAAGAATGAAGGTATATGTGAATTACCTAATTTAGAAGTGAGATTGATCACACAGTAAAGGACTTAGAAGTTCAACTGCTTTATTATTGTTATTTTTTGTTTTGGCAAAAAATCACATAATATGACATCTACCCCATTAGCAAATTTGTAAGTGCACAGTACAGTACTGTTAACTCTATGCACATTGGTATACACCAGATCTCTAGAACTTCTTTGTCTTGCATGACTAAAACTCTATACCCATTGAGCAGCAGCTCTTCATTTCCCTCTCCTCCAGCCCCCAGCAAACAGCATTCCCCTTTCCACTTCTATGAATTTGACTACTTTAGAAATCTCATGTAAGTGGAATCATGCAGTATTTGTCTTTCTGTAACTGGCTAATCTCACTCAACATCATGTCCTCTGGGTTTATTTGGGTTGTAGCATATGCCAGACTTCCTTCTATTTTAAGGCCGCATAATACTCTATTTTATGTATATACCACAGTTTCTTTATCCATTCATCCACTGATGGATGTTTAAGATGTTTCTGTCTCTTGACTGATATGAATAATGCTGCAATGAAAATGGGAGTGCAAATATCTCTTCCAGATCCTGTTTTCAATTCTTTTGAATAAATACCCAGAAGTGGGATTGTTGGATCATTTTTGAGGAAAACCCACACTGTTTTCCATGGTGGCTACACCATCTTATATTCCTACCAAGAGCGCACAAAGGCTGCAATTTCTCCATTTCCTTGCCAACACTTCTTATTTTTTGTTTGTTTGTTGATAATGGCCATACTTCAGGTGTGAGGTGATACAGTGGTTTTGATTTTCATTTCCCTGATGATTAGTGATGTAAAACATTTTTTCATATACCTATTGGCCATTTGTGTGTCTTCTTTGCCCATTTCTTTTTCTTTGCCCATTTTTTAAAATTGGGTTTTTTGTTTTTTGCTATTGATTTGTATGAGTTCCTTATATATTCTGAATACTAATCCTTCATGATATATATGATTTGCAGATATTATCTCCCATTCAGAAGGTTGCCTTTCACTCTCTTGATTGTTTCCTTTCTTTTTTAGCTGACATAGTTCCACCTGCCCATTTTTGCTTTTATTTCCTGTGCTTTTGGTGTCATATCCAAGAAATCATTGCCAGGACTACTGTTACAAAGTTTCTTACCTGTTTTCTTCTAGAAGTTTTACAGTTTAGGGTCTTACATTTAAGTTTTTAATTCATTTTATGTTGATTTTGGGGTATGGTGTAAGATAAGTGTCCAATTTCATTCTTTTGTATGTGTATATCTAGTTTCTCTGACACCATTTGCTGGAGAGACTATGTTTTCCCCAATGAGTAGTTTTGGCACCCTTGTTGAAGATCATTTGACCATATATACATGAGTTTATTTTGGGGCTGTCTCTTCTCTTCTCTTGGTCTATATGTCTGTCGTATGCCAATATCATATTGTTTTGAATACTGTAGCTTTGTAATATGTTTTGAAGTCAGCAAGTGGGAGCCACCTTCGTTTTTTTTTTTTTTCCAAGAATGTTTTGGCTATTTCTGGTATGCAGTTTTATGTGAATTTCAGTATTCTTTTTTCTTTCTGCAAGAAATGCCACTGAGATTTTGATCGAAATTATGTTAAATCTGTGGATTGCTTTGGGTAATATGGATATTTTAACAATATTAACTCTTCCAGTCATGAACACAGCTCATCATTCCATTGGTTTGTGTCATCTTTAATTTCTTTCATCAGTGTTTTGTAGTTTTCAGTGTACAAGTCCTTTGCCTCTTTGGTTAAGTTTATTGCCAAGTGTTTTATCCTTTCTTGATGCTATTATGAATGGGATTGTTTTCTAAATTTCCTTTTGAAATTTTTTGTTGCTGATATATAGAAAAGCAACTGATTTTTTGTGTTAATTTTGTATTAACTTTGCTGAATTTGTTTATTAGTTCTAACAGTTTTATGTGTGTGTGGAATGTTTACAGTTTTATACGTGTAAGATTGTGTCATCTGCCTACAGAGGTAGAAGTGTAACTTCTGAATTATATTTAGTTTTAGAGTAATTTTTATTAGGGCAGTGATAACAATAACTGGCCTCTGTATATATTTTATCTTTTTTCTCCTACATATGACTAAGTTTTGTATTCAAAGACATATTCAAACACTTTAGACCACAGTCTCCCTACCTATGGAAGAGGTATCTAAGGATTAAAAAGAAGATTCAAGACATAATAATATTTGATTCCTACACAGCAACTTTATTAAGTATATGTTAGTAAGATGGCCATTTAACAAGAGAAAACTGAAGCTGAGACTTTTGAGACTTACTTGTATGACATAATTAGTAAGTGGTAATGCCATGATTAAAACTTGTGTTTTCTCACCATGGACTTTGCTGAATAAATGAACCACCTATGCATTTTAACTTCATAGTGCCACTTTTTTCTTGCTGATTTTCCTTTAGTTCTTTTAATAATAAACTTTGCTTTGTATATCTGAGCATTAAAAACCTATGTCTGGAGAAAATGTTGAAATATCTTTTGTAGTAGGGATCAGGTAGCCTGGGACAACCACACTTACTGAGGCAAATGCACAAATGATTATAAGCATTATAGGCAAATGTTATATAATAGATTTACTTAATATTTGAATTATATGCTGATTCTGTTTATTTTTCATTTTATAGAGTTTTCCATTTTATCTTTATCAGAACAGTATTGTTTGTGTACATCTGTGGATTAAATATATTTAATTGTTTTAATTTCACTTTAGTAAATACAGTACAAACATTCTATGTGGCTTAGTGTACTTTTCAATCATTAAATAATTTATTTTTAGCTATGAATTACGGTATTTTCCATTGAAACACACTCAACTCCCAAATGATTATATAGCATCTGAACTGATCCTCTTAGAAGCACACTGTTTGCATTAATAAAATCTTTTTTTTTAAAAAAAGATTTTAGTTATTTATTTGACAGAGAGAGATACAGTGAGAGAGGGAGCACAAGCGGGGGGGTGAGAAGGAGAGGGAGAAGCAGGCCTCCTGCCAAGCAGGGAGCCTGTTGTGGGACTCCATCCCAGGACCCTGGGATCATGACCCGAGCTGAAGGCAGACGCTTAACGACTGAGCCACCCAGGCGCCCCTGCATTAATAAAATCTTAATAAATTTTCATTTTCTAAGGGTTTTTATAATCTTACATTTATCAAGAACCCTTAGATGATTCATGGAAAATGCTGAATTATGTATTTTTGACCTTGAACATTTTCATTTTTTTCTAAAGTTGCTTTTATCTGCCTATTAATCAAAATAAACACTGCTTACTTCTACTTGAAATGTATTTTGTTGTGCAAACTTAATATCTGTGTTTTCAAATAAATATTTATATCATATCAGACTTTTTACAGCTCCATTTTTTTTTAAGATTTTATTTATTTATTTGACAGAGAGAGACACACAGCAAGAGAGGAAACACAAGCAGGGGGAGTGGGAGAGGGAGAAGCAGGCTTCCCGCAGAGCAGGGAGTACAATGTGGGGCTCGATTCCAGGACCATGGGATCATGACCTGAGTCGAAGGCAGATGCTTAACGTGCCACCCAGGCACCCTCTATTTTGTTTTCAAAGTCATCATCTTTCTTTCTTCATTTAACTTAAGATATGCAAAACCATTTATTATTTATGGAGGATTTGATGAGATGAGAGTTCACCTGCTGGTAGCTATGACTCTATAATATGATAATATTGCAGTCTGATTTCAGTCTCCTTCAGAGGGAAAGAACTGTTTTGTCTTTTTTTTTAATTACTGAATGAAAGTTATAAAGATGACGGGCTGAAGTGGAAGAATTATTCTTGAATTCAGGATACTTAAAGCAGCCTAGGTTCACGTGTCACATGCTATGTCTTACAAATCAACAGGAAAACCCATTATAGAATGGTCCTGACCACCAACCTTGGCTAAACCAATGAGCTAATTACACTCTGTGTCTTTGTTGAAATGGCCCTAGAGATATTAATCACACAGATCTTGAGGCTGTGCAACTGATAATTTGCTATTTTAGATGACTGATAATTACTTCTAAGAAATTAGACAGCCTTAGTAAGAGGAAAACATAATTGCTTTTCCAGTGATTTCTACTTACGATCAGCGTAAATGATAGAGTAAATAAATGTCCACATCTTGTTGGAAAATTTTAATCTTCCTTTATGTTTTTAACCTTTCAGTTTTTTTCAGCTTATTTTGAGAAAAATTTTCATTGTATAGGACATTTTGGTACCACCTTCACTGATTGTATTCTAATTGTTAATTAGACTGTTTTTCGACTTTGATGTGATATTTGCTATGAAGTTTAGCTTCACTTTACATTGAAAAATATTATTTATATTTCATGTTATCCCCTAGCCACGTCAACCACATATCCACTGGCCTGAATATGAGTATAGGTCACCTACTAACTTTTTGGGAATGAATGAGAGAAGTCTCTATGAGGAAGAACTTTATGAATGCCAGATTATTTATCTCATAGTCTTGTTTTATGGTTAGCCCTAATGATACCATTAAGTATGTTAAAATCGTGGTAATGGAGACATAAGGTGAATTTACTTGGAAAGGAAAAGTCTTATAGAACAAAAATATATATTTTCATCTAACACCAAAAGACTCAGGGCTTTATTTATGATGTTTTTCAGAAAAATTAAAGAATGATCTGATTTTTTAAGGAAATATGGATAACTCGTCTCTTTAAAAGATCAAATATATGTATCTTTTTTTTTTTTCCTTTAGCGTGTGGAGAAACCCTACAAGAATCCAATGGCAACCTTTCATCTCCAGGATTTCCAAATGGCTACCCTTCTTATACACACTGCATCTGGAGAGTTTCAGTGACCCCAGGGGAGAAGGTAGTTTATATCATCGAGAGTTCTCATTTAGTGTCATATAAATACAGAGATTCATCTTCTTTTAAATATAATTTACTTTATTTTTTATTCTTATTTGATTCTTCAAATACAAGACTAAAAATCTCAGAAAATTTATAATAAAAATTGCTCAAACTCTGGGAATTTTTTGAAAAATGTAATTTAAAAAGAAATAGTAAATGCTCTAAAAGGGTTGAAATAATGCAGATTATGTTCTCAAGCACAATTAGATTAAGTTAAAAATAAGTATCACATAGATAACCAGAAAATCCCACACATTTCAGTTAAGAAATATACATAAAATATCCAGTTTAGCTAAAAAGCAAGTACAGATTTAGATAGAAATTATTTTCAGCTATAATATAACAAAAATAATGAATATCACACCTGTAGGATGCAATGAGAGCAGTACTTAGAAGGAAATTCACAACTTAAATGCTCACATTAGCAAATAAAAAATGCCCTAAACTAATGAGTTAGATATTCTTATTGAGTGGCTATTAAAGTTACAGTAAAATAAATGGAAAGGTACATAATGGAGGACATAATAAATAAAAGATAAACTAAGGAGATCAAAATAACATGGTACAAAGTATGAACAAAGTCGTACTTTGAAAAAACTTAGAAATATAGGAAAATGGTTGTAAATAGATCAAGAAAGAAAAAGAATAACGGGAAAAGCACAATTATCTAATCACCAGAATGAAAAGGTTATGATGCTCTAGACACAAAAATGAGATTAAAAGAATATTGTCAACATTATGCCAGTAACTTAAAAAATGTAGATGAAATGGGAAAATTCCTATAAAATATTACTGAGTTCTTACTCAAGAAAAAGAAAAAAAAAAACTCGATTACTCCTATAACCACTAAAGAAAATGAACTACTGTTTAATTGGATTATTAGATAATTTTCAGCAATGAAAATCCAAGTTCAGATGGCTTAATTTGTGAGTTCTAGCCAACATTCAAATAAGAAATAAGCATAATCTTATATAAACTCTCCCAGGGAATAAAAAGGAAGATCCACTCTCCTATTTATATGGCTAGCAAAATCTTGGTAGAAATCCTGACAAGGAGAGTATAAAAAAGGAAAAGTATAATCCAAGCTAACACTTGAATATGGATGTAAAATCCCCAAACCAAATCAAATTGAATTCAGGATACTTAAAGCAGCCTAGGTTCACGTGTCACATGCTATGTCTTACAAATCAACAGGAAAACCCATTATAGAATGGTCCTGACCACCAACCATGCACGTGTGTAGACACAAACACCATTAGAAGTATATCTCAATTAAATCAAGAAAAAATATCTATTACCGATTTAATAACAACAAGTCCTGAACAAATTGGGAATAGGTACCTTCTTAATCTTAGAAAGCAAATCGACAAAAATTATTACAAATATCATTCTTGGGAAAATTCTGAAACATTTCTTTCTACCATACCAGTTTTTTTTTTTTTTTTTTTTTGGTGGAAGTCATGGCACATTAAGGCAAGAAAATGGAATTAAACATAATAAGGATTGAAAAGGAAGAAAATTCCCTTTAGCATATTTAATTTGTTGGTTCAAGATTTTAAAATTATTAAGGAAGGAAATGAATGAATCTGTTAACTTTTGGATTCTGTCTTGAATGCTAACCTTAAAAGTCTTTCCGAAAGACCAAGACTGTATTGATACTAATCTTTTTTTTTCTTGATACTTTTAAATAGTTTTTGTTCTTTGCTTATGACTAATTCATCTGGAATGACTCAAATATACTTAGAATTTTTGTGAGAATGCAATTGAGGTTAAAGTTTAATATTCCTGATAATTGAATGTTAAGAGAATCATGGGTGTGGAGCTGTCTAGTGTGTTACAGTATTCCACATGAAAACTGATTGAAACATTTGTGTAACGTGAATGGTTTTGAAACATAAAAAGTTTCAATTGACTTGGAATACATGAATGCATACATAATTCTTTATACAGTCATTTTTAATTTAAGAATTAAAAGTCTTTGTACGGTAGTTATAGGTGTTGATCAATTTCTGTGTGGATTTTTGAATAAGCTTATGAGAATATTTTATGAAAATCATTCTTAAAAAGGTACTGAAGAGCAAAATATAAAAGCTGATAAAAACTATATGTGATTTTGAAATTAAAATTATAGAATATGAAGAGTTTTGAACAAGATTAGTAAAATCCACAAAGAGCAAGATAATACAGGAAAAAAATTGTTCCTCCTATCCAATTGCAGTACCCACACCATCAGTATTCAAAGTTAATTCACTTTTCTTATATGTTTAATTACCAATAAAACTGTATTTTCCAAGATGTTACAAATAGGAAGAAATCAACACATCTATCATCTTTTAAAATTATTTTTCTTAATATTATGTATGATGATGAGCAAATAAATTGAATTAAGTGGTCAATGAACAACATTAACTCATTTTTCATTGTGTCTTTATTAGTTTCTTTTTGTTTTAAATTTGGATTTATTCTGCTGTTCTTTTTTACTTCTTTAGTTGGCAGTTTAACTCATTAATTCTAATACAAAATTTAAGGCTATAAATTTCCTTCTAAGAACTGCTTTATCTGAATTTCACCAGCTTGACATACAGTATTTTTGCTATTTTTCAATTTTCATTATCTTCTTTGTCTCTTATTATTTCTTCTCAACCAACATATTTTTTGGTAACATATATTTTCTTATTTGAAAACATACATTTTTTTCCCAATCATCCTTTTCTTGTTAATTTCTCCTTTAGTCACTTCTGGTGAGAGACTGTACCCTGTAAGATGTCAGTCTTTAAAATATTTTGAGGCTGGCAGTATGACCTTGGAAGTGACCAATCTTCATAAAGAATAATCTTTGCTTTAAAGTTGGGACACCTGGGTGGCTCAGTCAGTTAAATGTCCGACTCTTGATTTCGGCTCAGGTCATGATCTCAGGGTCTTGAGATCGAGCTCCACGTCCTGCTCCATGTGCTGGGCAAGGAACCTGCTTAGGATTCTCTTTTCCCTTCTCCCTCTGCCCCTGCTTCCACTCTCTCTCTATAAACAAATAAAATCTTAAAAAGGAAAACAAAATGTGTTTTGTGCAGTAGCTGGGTGCAAAGTTCTCTATGCATTAGTCTTTTAAATTGTGAAGTGTATATATTCTCTAATTATTGTTTTTTACTTTATCAAATAGAAAGGTATGTTAATATTTGTCACTATTTGGTGGATTTATTAGTTTCTCTTTATTTTAAAAATAAATATTGTATATATTTATATGTAAATATATTTAAAATATTTTTGTTCTATATTATTATATATATATTATGTTTAGAATATATCATCTTTCTGATAATTAAACTATTATTATATACTGTATTTCTTTATCTCTAGTTGTGATTTAGGTACTTTATTTTTTCTGATATTAATAAGGCTACACATTCTTTTTATTAATATATTTGCCTGGTTATATCTTCATCTTGCTTTAGACATTTAGTTGTTCTGTGGTCTTGTGTCCCAGGTGTGTCCCTTTTAGACAGCAAATAGTTTGGTTTTATTTTTTATTTAATTCATGGTGGTTAGTTTGTCTTTAGTGTTTATTACAGTTACATTTTTTGTGATTTCTGATGTATTATTATTTCTTGTTTGCATTCTATATGTCCCACTTTGTTTCTTTTGTTCTACTTTTTAGCCTTTTTATGTATTGAATTTATGGTTTCATTTTCCCTCATTTCACTTATTTTCTATTTTTTGGTTTGAAAGTTTTAAATGTATATTCTATTATTTGGTACCCCCTTTTCTACCAGCCTTTTTTTTTTTAAAGATTTTATTTTTTATTTATTTATTTGAGAGAGAGAGAGAATGAGAGATAGAAAGCACGAGAGGGAAGAGGGTCAGAGGGAGAAGCAGACTCCCCGCTGAGCAGGGAGCCTGATGTGGGACTCGATCCCGGGACTCCAGGATCATGACCTGAGCCGAAGGCAGTCGCTTAACCAACTGAGCCACCCAGGCGCCCTCTACCAGCCTTTTTAATGGAGTCATATTTAAGTGGTGTCCTTATCCTCCCAAACCATAAAAGATTCTAAAAAAAAGATTACAATACATGTTATCTTCATTTTATATGCTGTTGTTTAGTATTTTTCTTCAAGTTTGTTTCATCCTGACACAAATAAGATATTATTATTGATTTTTGCACTTAACATTTGTTAAGGTATACATAGATATTTACCAATTTTTTTTTATTGTGATAAAAAACATGTACAATTTACTGTCTTAACCATTTTTAAGTGTACATTTCAATGGTGTTAAGTACATTCACACTGTTATGGAACAGATCTCCAGAACTTTTCCATTTTGCAAAACAAACTCCATACCCATTCATGTCCATTTTCCCTCCCCCTTGGCCCTGGGAACCACCATTGTACTTTCTGTTTCTATGAATTTACTTTCGATACCTCACATAAGTGGAAGCATACAGCATTTGTTATCTCGTGACTGGTTTATTTCATTTAGCGTAATGGTCTCAAGGTTTAACCATGTTTTAGCATGTGACAGGATTTTCTTCTTTTTAAGGCTGAATGACATTCCATTGTATGTATAGACCACATTTGTTTATCCATTCATCCTTTGATAGACGTTTGAGTTGCTTCCACCTTCTGGCTGTTGTGAATAGTGCTACTACAAACATGAGCAGGAAAATATCTCTTCAGGACAGTCCTTTGAATTCCTGTGGATGCATACTCTGAAGAAGTGGGATTGCTGGATACTTTGGTAGTTCTGTTTTTAATTTTTTGAAGAACTTCCATATTGCTTTCCGTAGTGGTTGCATTATTTTACAATCCCACCAGCAATGTTGAAGCATTCCAAATTCCCCACATCTTCACCAATATGTAGTATTTTGGTGTTTGTTGTTGTTGTTGTTGTTTTGATAGTTGTCATCCTAATGGGTGAGAGGTGATATCTCATTGTGGATTTGATTTGCATTTCTCTGATGATTAG